GAATCTAGAAATAAATGTTACCCATCAGAGGTATAAATTATTACAACCTTTGGTAAACTTCAGTCCTCACTGAATCTTTGCTTCTCTGTTGGCAGGTTATTCAGAAAAATCAAATTTGTATCATTTGAAATGAAATATGAGGAATAAAAAATCCACACATAAACTGGTGATTGCATTAACCAATTTTAGATGTTTTCTTTTTAGGCAATTTGTTTCTTTTCAAAAATTGGTATAAACAAACAAATTTTACTTCAAAGTAATTTCGAATTAGGCACCTCTCACACTTGCTCACCCATAGCAGGCTTTGTAGGTAAAATTGCTGAAAACCTGAAAAAAGGATACTCACTCTGTGCTCTGGGGTCAGTTGTTATTTCTCCTGTGGCTCTGAACATATACTCCCAAACCTAAAATGATAGTCTCAGTTTTCTGAGGTCTCTTCATGTTGGCTTGTGACCTTGATTTTTTTCCCTATTGGCTTCTCATGTTGTGCATTTCTTGCTCATGTAAAATTTCATTCAGGCTTTGTCTCTACACCACACTCTCCTGTCGATGTCACACTGCAAGCCTGGGTCCTTTTGTTTTACCTTACATACTGACTACCTGAACTCTACTGCTTTTCTAAGAAATTATTTATGTGACATTGACAAGGGCTTTCCTCTGGAAAATGAAGAAAACTGTCAACTTCAGGGACCTTCCAAGCAGAGATTCTATGAGTCTCAAATTCCTTTAAATCTGGATTACCTTATTCTCCTCACATGAAAAGCCAATCCATTTTTTAGAGAGGGCTAGATTTCTGACAAACTGTTCCTTTCTTTTGTGGTTCCTATTTACCATTTATCTAGAATTCATCTTTTCTTCACATAACTTACTGGTACTGTTTTCAGAAAGTAATCACGAGACTTAGCACTCCTAACTTCTAATGAATATTGATTCAGTTATATGACAAGTTCTTTTTATCCTTTAAAACTGATAATCATATTTAGCATATTGCTGTCTTTAGCACTGTGTGATTTTAGATGTCATTATACTATAGTTAGACTCTTTATGTTGCTTTCCAACTCCTTCACCAAAATGAATTTAAGCTTTTTATTAAGGGGATAAAAACTCATTTTTTAATATTATTTATATATATCTTTGTACCTTTTTTTGAACAAATCATTGCCAATATGTGTGGTCAATTTGTGTGATTAACCCGTTGCAGGGGAAATGGTCTAAATCTTTTGTTTAATTTTGCAGTGTTTGGCTCATTTAACCTTATGTGTGTAGCATTTCTGGAGAAACTGTGTTTGTTTTGAGACAGAGTTGGAATGGGGAACTCTATTTAAATAATGATTTGTGAAATAGGTTTTCTAAAGCATATTTATATGACAGCTTCTCTTTCTGTGACAATTGCTTTTTGAATTACAGACACTTCTGTTATGGATGTTGTGCATCTAAATATAACAGCATATGGCTATGGCAGAAACTGGTCTTTTTTGAAAGCAGAGGTTTAAGTCACATATAAAAACAGAATTCAGGTGGATTTAGGTGTCAATGTAAACAGCAATAATATTTCTCTGAGTCAATGCATTTTTGTTTTCTAAAAGAATATTGTAAGTGCTTTGCATGAAAAAAGTATATATTAAAAGGAAAATCATGCATCTGTGAAATTAGAGGTCAGTTGCAAAAGAAAGTGAAATCACAATTACTGAGATGTGCCTACACTTGGAACTCTGAAAAGTAAATGAAGGGAATGCTTTCTATCTTATTCATATTGAATTTTCCCTCTCTGTTTTTGTATTTTTCTTCCTTTAGAAGTAACTTAGGAAACAAAACATATAAAAGAAAACATTTTATTACCGAACACCAGCCTCTGCCCCATCAGATCCAATTATTAACAATACGACTTTGTATGAAAAAGTTACCTAGATCAGTAGAAATTTTACACCTTATTAAAGATCAAGCTCATTAACTCTCAAAAGTTAGTATTATTATCAAATAAACTAATGATCACATTTGAAATAATATTACAAAGTAAATGAACTGATCAATTTAAAGAAGATACAAAGTGTTCCATAGAATTTTCTTTTTATTTTAAATCATTAGGTAGGGCTGGATCATTTACCCAATAGAAAACTATTATTTGTATAAATATGTGACACTGACATTTTTTTTCCCCTAACGAACTGCTCTAGAAGTAATAGACTTGGAAAACACATCTAAAAAAAAGGGATACATTTATTTGATAAGAGAAACACAAAATTAGTTCTAATTAGTTTCTGCCATAAGTGAATCCTTATTCATAGGCATTATCAAAAAATTCTGCTGGTAATTATAGATACCCACTATAAATTTGGATGTTTTTCCCCATTGGTAGAAGATTCTGTGACTTTTTCTCAGATCTCTCAAAATAACAACACTTTATGCACTAATTACATAATGTGTATGTGATAGAAAACATCTAAGTTCAGTTAGGAAGAATGAGAGTCAGAAAATAAACTGTTATGGAGTGTATATCACCAACCAATGGCACAAAGATAGAGCACATGAACACAGGGTAGATATGTCATAACTTGGAGAAAACTTTGGAAAATATTGATGACAGTGGTGTGACAATTATCACATATCTTCCAGAAATTTAAATCTTCTAAAAATCACAAACATGTTAACTTTTTAGTTATGTTTCTTAATAAAAGTAAGTATGAGGAAATAATAAATGGAAATACTGTCTCCTAATGAAAGTTGATTCTTAAAACAGAAGAATTGAATATATCCTGTCAAAAGAATATCTCAGAGTTCAAGATAAAGCAGATCAATATTCTAGGTTTCTGGAAATGTTTGTCAGAAATATTATTGAAAAATATTTAAGTATAGATGAATGGCCAACAATTCTATGAGACCACAAGATGAATGCTTCACTTTTTCCATAAAATGTGGTGATCAAATCATCATTTTTTATGTATTCAAGACTGAGAATTCTTTATGAAGAAGACAAATGTGCCATAAATGGGCTTCTAGGTCAATTCAGTCTGAAATTACTTGTATAAAAATGGAAAAGATATTTCAGTAAAGATAACAGAAAAAGAGTAAACACAATATAATATGAATTATATCAGCATTTAACAAATAGAATAAGCTCATGTCTGTAAAGATATGAGGATTAAAACAACTTTTAAATTTAAAGTGAGAAGAAAATAATTACTCTAAAGAGCAGGAAACATAAAATAACTCAGTTGATTTAAATTACTATCCACCAATTCCCTCCAAAATTACATCCTAGGATAAGATGGGAACTTGCAAAAATGTCAGCATGTTACAAGGTATCACCCGGAAAATAGGATTGCAAATTGGAGAATTACAATGAATGAAGAATAGAGGTGAGAGGACATTTTATTTTCCTAAAGAAAAACTTATATTTATCGTATCTAACCCTGAAACAACCTTGAAAACTTGATGTTTTGGTTTTAATTTTATATTAAGCAACTGATACGAGGAGAATGCAGGTTTGCTCTTCGGATAATGCACACGCTGAGCCTATCAGCTGTTCATACCCTTGAGAAAAATTGTTAGTTTGCTTCTAATAATCCATCTATTCACTTTATTCTACTCATAGTCAAAAGCCAATAGCAAGGAGAAAAAGATCTATCCAGAGAGTACTGTACTTCAAATGAGAAAGAAACTGAGCAATACACAGATGTATTTTTCTATTGGTCATATGTACATTCCCCACTGTTAGATAAACAATATGGAGGGACATAAGGAAGAGAAGAATCCCAGTGATTTCTTGTGACATGGAGGGTGAGGGGTTTACTAGGATCTCTCGCTAAGATAGTAAACGGTGAGCAGCGATGGGAAGGAGTGAACCATGTGAGTGTAAAAGGACACAAATCACTTCTATTTCACTTCCATATCCTCAAGCACTTTTTTTCACATCCACTTCAGGAAAACACATGCTTTTCTGCTGCAACTCTCCCAGACCTCTTCTCAGTGCTTTGATATCCCTCCTCATCTGCCTGACCAAGTAGTGGGTCAGCACATGAAATGGAATTTTGGTTTTAGCTATCGTACATTTTGGAGGATTTTTTAGCTTGCATATTTCACTTGCAGGGAACACCCTGTTTAGTGCTGTCTTGTCCCTCTTTGTCTTTCATTTCTTTAAGAAGGGCGGCTAAAGAACATCTAAGCATTAGAATATTCATTTTTAAAAGAGGAAAATATTGTCTTATGTATTTGTTTGGAAACGTATTTATTTATTTATTTATTTATTTATTTATTTATTTAGGAATGTAATGAATACAGCTATTGGAATTTGTGTTCTACTTTTAGGCCACCTGAAATATTTTATTTATATATTCTAAGTTTCTTTGCTCTGTAATGTGCATGAAGTTGAAATTTGGGAATTACTTTCTCTGAACCAGTGAACAAATATTCTATAATGCTCTGAAGGGTCTGGCTTTGCCTCTGCCACTACTTAGATTTTTGGGGCACATCACAATACTTCAGGAACCCAGATTCCATATCTGTAAAATACAGGGGCTTGAGCATGATCTCAAAGGTCCTCTGAAACAGTGAAAAAGAAAATATATGACTTCACTGTTTTTGCCTTTACCTACTGAGAATAACATATACTGCAAGGTTGTTCTAGATCATCGCTGGGATATTTATATTTGTATAAACAATACTTCATGTCTCCCAAAAGAAGTGTTCATACAAAATCTAACAACTAATTGGTTGCAAGGTGCTATGGGTGACAAAGAAGAAACAGTAAATATTTGTGTCTTGCTAAAAAATAATGTGTGAGTGATTATGAATTGTGCCATATTATGTCTCTCAAAATCTAATGCAAGGGAGACAAATTAATTAGTACTTTTATTAGCTGAATTTGAAAACACTCAAGATAGATAAAGTGGTCTTTTAAAAGTCCTTTTGTGACAACAGTTGAAAATATTATAATCAAAATCAAGTCAAGGGAATCAGACAAATTAGATTTACTACTTAATATTTGTTTTTTTTCCCCTTAGGTTATTCATACCATAAGTGCCACTGATAAAGACGACTTTGCCAATGGACCAAGGTTTAACTTCTTTCTTGATGAACACCTGTCTATAAACCCAAACTTCACTCTAAAGGACAATGAAGGTGAACATATATATGTATTTTTATCTATGCGGTATCCACTTTGACTTGCTATGGAATAGACCTGAGCAGTTTTACTTTATTCTTTTTTTATTAAAGTATCATTGATATACAATCTTATGAAGGTTTCACATGAGCAACATTGTGGTTACTACATTCACCCATATTATCATGTCCACCCACCCCCAAACCCCATTGCAATTACTCTCCATCAGCGTAGTAAGATGCTACACAGTTACTACTTGTCTTATCTGTGTTCTACTGCCTTCCCCATGACCCTCCTACATTGTTTGCTTATCATAATGCCCCTTAATCTCCTTCACCCTCCCTAGCCACCCACTTTCCTTCCTTTGGTAACCCTTCCCTTTGGTAACCACTAATCCCTTCTTGGAGTCTGTGAGTCCACTGCTGCTTTGTTCCTTTAGTTTTGCTTTGTTGTAATACTCCAAAAATGAGTGAAATCATTTGGTTCTGGTCTTTCTCCACCTGGCTTATTTCACTGAGCATAATACCCTCTGGCTCTATCCATGTTGTTGCAAATGGTAGGATTTGTATTTTTCTAATGGATGAATAATATTCCATTGTGTATATGTACCACCTTTTCTTTATTCATTCATTTACTGATGAACACTTAGGTTGCTTATATACCTTGGCTATTGCAAATAATGCTGTGATAAACATAGGGGTGCATATGTCTTTTTGAATCTGGGATCTTGTTTTCTTTGAGTAAATTCCTCAGAGTGGAATTCCTGAGTCAAGTGGTTTTTCTATATTTAGTTTGTTGAGGAATCTCCATATTGCTTTCCACAATGGTTGAAGTGATTTACATTCCCACCAGCAGTGTGGGAGGTTTCCCCTTTCTCCATCCTCTCCAGCATTTTTTGTTGTTTGTCCTTTGGATGTTGGCCATCCTAACTGGTGTGAGGTGATATCTCATTGTGGTTTCAATTTGTATTTCCCAGATAGTTAGTGATGTGGGGCATCTTTTCATGTGCCTGTTGGCCATCTGTATTTCTTCTTTGAAGAAGTATCTGTTAAGATCCTCTGTCCATTTTTTAAATCATGTAATTTGCTTTTTGGGTGTTGAGATGTGTGAGTTTTTATATATTTTGGATGTTAACCCATTATTGGGTATGTTCTTGATGAATATATTCTCCCATACTGTAGAATGCCTTTTAGTGCTGCTGATGGTATCCTTTGCTGTACAGAAGCTTTTTAGTTTGATGTCGTCCCATTTGTTCATTTTTACTTTTGTTTCCCTTGCCCAAAAGATGTTCAGGAAAAAGTTGCTCATGTTTATGTTCAAGAGATTTTTGCCTATGCTTTCTTCTAAGAGTTTTATGGTTTCATGACTTACATTCAGGTATTTGATCCACTTCAAGTTTACTTTTGTGTATGAAGTTAGACAATAGTCCAGTTTCATTGTCTTACCTGTAGCTGTCCAGTTTTGCTAACAACAGTTGTTAAAGAGGCTGTTATTTCCCCACTGTATATCTAAGGTTCCTTTATTGTATATTAATTGACCATATATGCTTGAGTTTACATCTGGGTTATCTATTCTGTTACACTGATCTATGGGTCTGTGCCAGTACCAAATTGTTTTGATTACTATGGCTTTGTAGTAGAGCTTGAAGTTGGTAAGCATAATCTCCCGAGCTTTATTCTTCCTTCTCAGGATTGCTTGGCTATTTGGGGTCTTTTTTGTTTCCATATGAATTTTAGAACTATTTGTTTTAACTCATTGAAGAATGTGGTTGGTTTTTGACAGGAATTGCATTGAATCTGTAGATTGCTTTCAGCACAATGGACATTTTGACAATATTAATTTTTCCTATCTATCCATGAGCACGGGATGTATTTCCATTTATTGGTGTATTCTTTACTTTCTCTTGTGAATGACTTGTAGTTTTTAGGATGTAAGTCTTTCATCTCCTTTGTCAGATTTATTCCTAGGTATTTTATTCTTTATGATGCAATTGTAAATACAAGTGTTTTTCTGATTTCTTTCTGCTAGTTCATCATTAGTATATAGGAATGCAACTAATTTACGTGTATTAATTTTGTATCTCACAACTTTGCTGAATTCAGTCATTAGTTTCAATAGTTTTGGGGTGGATTCTTCAGGGTTTTTATGTATAATGTCGTGTCATCTTCAAACAGTGACAGTTTAACTTCTTCCTTACCAGTCTGGATGCCTTTTATTTCTTTGGTTGTATGATTGCCATTGCTAGAGCTTCCAGTACTATGTTGAATAAAAGTGGGGAGAGTGAGTATCCTTGTCTTGTTCCCAATCTTAGAGGATTCTCACTCTTAAGTGTGGTGTTGGCTGTGTATTTGTCATGTATGGCCTTTATTATGTTGAGGTACTTGCCACCCTATACTCATTATGTTGAGAGTTTTTATCATGAATGGATGTTGAATTTTGTCAAATGCTTTTTCAACATCTAATGAAATGATCATGTGATTTTTGTCCTTTTTGTTGACGTGGTGTATGATGTTGATGGATTTTTCAAATATTATACCAGCCTTGCATCACTGGAATAAATCCCACTTGATTGTGATGGATGATCTGTTTGATGTATTTTTGTATTTGGTTTGCTAATGTTTTGTTGAGTATTTTTACATCTATGTTCAGCAGGGATATTTGTCTATAATTTTCTTTTTCTGTGGTGCTTTTGCTTGGTTTTGGTATTATAGTGATGCTGTCCTCCTAGAATGAGTTTGGAAGTATTGTCTCCTCCTCTACTTTTTGGAATACGTTAAGGTGGATGGGTATTGGTCTTCTCTAAATGTTTGATAAAATTCAGCAGTGAAGCCATCTGGTCCAGAGGTTTTGTTCTTCTGTAATTTTTTGATTATCAATTCAATTTCATTGCTGGTAATTGGTCTGTTCAGATTTTCTGTCTGTTCTTGGGTCTTGGAAGGTTGTATTTTTCTAGAAAGTTGTCCATTTCTTCTATGTTGTTTAATTTGTTAGCCTATTATTTTTCATAGTATTTTCTAATAATTCTTAATATTTCTGTGGTGTCCATAGTGATATTTTACTTTCTCATTTCTGTTTCTGTTTTTTGTGTACACTCTCTTTTTTCTTGATAAGTCTGGCCAAGGGGTTATCTATTTTATTTATTTTCTCAAAGAACCAGCTCCTAGTTTCATTGATTCTTTCTAGTGTTTTATTCTTCTCAATTTTATTTTTTCCTGCTATAATTTTTATTATGTCCCTCCTTCTATTAACTTTGGGACTCATTTGTTCTTTTTTTTTTAGTATCATTAATTGTGAGTTTAGATTTTTCCTTTGGGATTGTTCTTCTTTCTTAAGGTAAGCCTGTATTAAAATATGCTTTCCTCTTAGACCTGCCTTCACTGTGTCCCACAGTTTTGGGTTGTTTAGTTTTTTTCATTTGTCTCTATATTGCTTGATCTCTGTTTTTATTTGGTCATTGATTCATTGGTTATTTAGGAGCATTTTGTTAAGCCTCCATGTATTTGTGGGCTTTCTGTTTTCTTTATATAATTTATGTCTAGTTTCATACCTTTGTGGTCTGAAAAGCTGATTGGTATGATTTCAATCCATTTGAATTTACTGAGGCTCTTTTTGTGGCCTATTATGTGATCTATTCTGTAAAACGTTCCATGTACAATTGAGAAGAATGTGTATTCTGCTGCTTTTGGGTAGAGTGTTCTGTCGATGTCTGTTATGTCCCTCTGTTCTAATATGTTATTCAGTGCCTCTGTCTCCTTACTTATTTTCTGTCTGGTGGATCTGTCCTTTGGAGTGAGTGTTGTGTTGAAGTCTCCTAAAATGAATGCATTGCATTTTATTTCCCCCTTTAATTCTTTTAGTATTTGTTTCACATATTAGTGCTCATATATTGGGTTCATAGATATTTGTAACAGTTATATCCTCTTGTTGCACTGACCCCTTTATCATTATGCAATGTCCTTCTTTGTCTCTCATTACTTTCTTTATTTTGAAGTCTATTTTGTCTGATACAAGAACTGTAACTCCTGCTTTTCTCTCCCTATTATATGTATGAAATATCTTTTTTTATGCCTTCACTTTTAGTTTGTGTATGTCTTTGGGTTTGAAGTGAGTCTCTTTGGGAACATATAGATGGATCTTGTTTTTGTTTTTTTTTATCCATTCTGTACCTCTATGTCTTTTGATTGGTGCATTAGTCCATTTACATTTAGGGTGGTTATCAACAGATATGTACTTATTGACATTGCGTGCTTTTGATTTAAGCTTACCAAAGATTCAAGGGCAGCTTCTTTACTGTCTAACAGTTTAACTTAACTCACCTATTATGCTATTTCAAACACAATCTAAAGGTTCTTTTTTTTTCTCCCTTCTTTTTCTTCCTCCTGCACTCTTTGTATATTAGGTGTCATATTCTGTACTCTTTGTGTATCCTTTGACTGCCTTTGTGGGTAGTTAACTTAATTTTGGATATTTCCTTTACTGTTGTTTGATTTTCTCTGGTAACAGCTGTTTAACCTTAGGAGCACTTCCATGTATAGCTGTCCCTTTAAAATACACTGTGGAGTATAGATTGTGCTAGGATGATTTTTTCCACCTATCCTTTCTCCTGAGCAACAAGCTCTGTGTAGTCTTTCCTTTTTAGCACCTCTCTTGCTTTTGGGAAGTCTTTCCAAGCTCCCACCTTTCTTTTATCCCACAGCAACTGGTTGTGGGTACCTGTTCTCCTCAAGCAGCTGGAATATCAGTCTCTCCAAGTATTCTGCTTGTCTTTGCTTTCCAACCCCTCTAACTTCCAAAGCACCATGTAATGTGGGTTCTTTCTCCTGGAGCCAATCTCCATGGGTGGATGTTCAGCATTGCTGGTCTTCTGCTCCCTCCCTGCTACATCTCTCTTCCTACCACTTGTGAGCTGCAGTGGGGCGAGGGCTTGGGTGCTGCCGGATTGCAGCTTTGCTACTTACTCTTTTCTGTGTGGTTTTCTCCAGATGTAGGCAGCCTGTAGCAATCTTCAGATGCTCTT